TAAATGATACACAACCATAGTTATGCTATACCGTGTTCTATTATATTATATCATGTTTTATCCCAACTCATGCTGCTTAAGCCCCGGTCTTCTACCCATCAAGCCAAAAAAAAAATATCCGGGCAGGGAACCTCTGCGGCTTTGCGTTCCTTCTCGGCCGCCAACTTCTCATCACGAAGCTTCTGCAACTCCTGTGGGCGAGTTGCTGCCCCTGGGGCCCCTGGGGCCCCATCTTATTGGCCCCCAGACAAATTGCTGAATGTGATGAGTAAATGTCAAAGAAAAGATCATTGGATTGTATATAGCCAAATTTGGATATAATGGATCCGTGCATGGGGTATCATAGCACCTTGTATGGCAATTTCAATCGGGAAATCATGAGAAAGTCTTGGGTTTTGGGGGTACCCTATTCCCAGAAGAATCCCGAACGAAAATCATATGAACCTATTGGATTTCAGGGGCAACGCGAAATGCGGGAGTTAGATTTTTTTGGAGGATTTTGGAGCAATTCTTCTGGTCGGATGTTGATTGTTAGGATTTGGGAATCGATAGAACAAGAAATGTCGGAAGTTCGAAGCAACGCAATTTAGCAGACTTGAAAAAGTTAAACCCTAGAGTAAAGGGAAATTGAATCAAGAAATTGGAGGCAGGATCAACAAATACTGAGGTTTTGACCAAGAAGAGGAAATTCAGCCAACAAGAAAGGTGATTTCGCTTGTGGGCGAATGATTGCCGCATCTGCGTGTGAGAGACTTGCATGCACCGTTGTTCGGTGCTGAAATTCGGAGCCCCGTCCCGAATGAGGTTATCGTCATTTTTTTGAAGCCACCGAAGCCAGTTCGCATGAATCGAGAATTCACACCCGGTGGGATACGGGTCAATAGCAAAGTACCCAAAATTTAGGATTGAACTTCACATCCCCGACATGAAGAACCTGGACTCCTGGACCAATCGAAAAAACCAGGCATCAGGTGCTAAAAAGCGCCTTGAGCTTGTTGTCCTTCTCTGTACCCTTGGCCTTGTTGTACCTGGTGAGCTGATACTATCGTGGATCCCGTAGAATTTCACGCATCCAAATTTCAGCTCCCACCTTTTCAAATGGCTTTGTGTTTGAAGAATCTTAAAGATGGTACCCCAATTTTACCTGGGAAAATCATCATTTTCACATTATTTTCACCATTTGCCGTCACTGGGTTGGTACCCCCATGCTTAGACAAACCTAAGTATCATGTTGGTTGTGGGTTATACCAGTTCCGAATTACATCCTACATCCCCATAAAACGGCTGTCTCAAGCGAGCCAAAGCCGACGCATCTTGGGTGGACTTGATCTTACCGTCCAAGTTCGTGATCTTGCCGATCATCTCTCGATCCTTCTCCTGGCATCATCATGGCAGCATTTTAGCTCTATGGAAACATACATATGTGTGAATATGAACATGTGGATATCAGCTAGATATATGTCTCTATGTATATATATATTATTATATATAATACATACTTGTGTTTACCTGTCTATGTGATTTTATCCATATAATATATATATATACATATATATATACATATATACATATATATATACTATATATATACATATATATATATATACATAATATATATATATATATATACATAATATATATATATACATAATATATATATATACATAATATATATACATATATATATACATATATATGTATATATATATATATATGTATATATATGTATATATATATATGTATATATATATGTATATTATGCACTACTACACATGAGTACACATCTGCATAACAAGTTCCACACAGGGCTTTGAATGGGTCCATAGGATAACCCAACATCCAACTTGCACTTCCTGGGCTTTCTTGGTCTTCTCGTTGACGCTTTGCAAAGCCTGCAGTGAAGCTTGTCCCGTGGATCTTCCCGGTGAAAAACCATGCCCGATATTCCCGGAAGGTAATTTTTAAAATGGGCTGTTGGTTGATCAAAAATCATTGGAGATTTGACCGTCCGTCGCGGCCCACAAGGTTTGGTCATTGCCGTCGTAGCTGAAGAATTGTTAGCATCGTGAGTCCATGGGAATTATAGGACCAATGGATTGCCTAATCCCAGACATTCTTCACATGCACAAATGCTGAAAGACAGCCGACAGGACTTTGCTAGTGACCAACACTACAAATGGCTGTGACTTTCCAAGAGACCATCTGTTTCAAGACTGCAAAAAGTGGAAAAAGCCCAGGTTGATGTAGGGATGCTCATGATTGTGAATCAATCGATATGATTGGGGCAGTAGTCCCCAATGGATTCACTTCCCACACTGTCAGGTGAGGTAACTGTGCACCTCTGGGAGCCCCAATTCGTAGCTCCAACGGGGAATAATTATGCTCCGAATCGCTCCGTCCTAACCACTGGAGAGTATTTCCAGTAAGCTTGTCATTTTCTATCGTTTTGTCGGACTTTTGTCGTTATCCCATATCATCCTCCTCTCAAACACACCCAGCACCCAGCGTGACCTTATCGACTTTGTCCTTCAGCTGCAAGCGCTTCGCACTGCTTTCGGCCAAGGCCTAGCTTCGTGTGGAAGATGGGCGAGGCGTTTTTCCAACGTTTGACGGTTACAGTACTAATGGGCCATAATATACGTAGTTATATAATGGGTACTAAAAATAGTACCCAAGTATATCATCCCCCATCTAAGTGCAAGTGATTTGTAAGGGGGTGTGAAATAGTTTTAGGATTTTTTTTTTGAACAGGTTTGGGAATTTTTTTTGGATTTCTTGGCTGGTACCATTTGCCTAGTGTTTGCAACGGTTTGGAACTTGAATTTGTCATTTTGCATGGTATTTGCCACATTTGGGCATGTTCACCTTCCATTTTGCATGGGATTTACTACATGTGGGCATGTTCACCTTCCATTTTGTATGGTATTTGCCACATTTTGGCATGTTCACCTTCCATTTTGCATGGGATTTCCTACATGTGGGCATGTTCACCTTCCATTTTGTATGGTATTTGCCACATTTTGGCATGTTCACCTTCCATTTTGCATGGGATGTTCTACATGTGAGCATGTTCACCCAAATATTTACAGATGCGGAAGCTTGGGATTAGATAAAAAGCGGGTGGGGGGGATTGAGGGAGGGCGCTAGCTATCTATCCAGCTAGCCTATCTATCTAGCTATCTATCTAGCCATCTATCTATCTAGCTATCTATCTAGCCATCTATCTATCGAGGTATCTAGCTATCTATCTCTCTATCTATCTATCTATCTATCTATCTAGCTGGCTATCTATCTATCTAGCTATCTGTCTACCAAGCTATCTATCTATCTATCTATCTATCTATCTATCTATCTATCTATCTATCACATGTAATCCTGTCAGCTTTCCAGAGAAGGTTAGTTCGCAAAAACCAACTAATGTAACTTGGGTTTAAGTTTAAATTAAAAAAAAGCGGGAGGGGGGGATTGGGGAGGGCGCAGCGCCTCCCCCCAAAGCAGAATGCAAGCACCTCTTCTCACATGTTACGTTGCTAGTTTTCAAGAGAAGGTTGGTCATGTGATACTCAGGGATGTAAATACTGTGCAAAATGCATCTTACATGAAAATCAAGTATTTAAAGCAGGCAAAGCAAAAAAAAAAGCAGAGAAGCAAAAAAGCAGAGAAGCAAAGAAACAGGAAACGCACAAAAGCAAAACAGCAGAAAGGCAAAGAAGCAGGAAAAGCAGAAGCAGAGAAGCAGGAAAAGCAGGAAAAGCAGAGAAGCAAAGAAACAGGAAAAACAGAAAAGCAAAAAAGCAGAAAAGCAGAGAAGCAGAGAAGCAGGAGAAGCAGAAAAGCAAAAAAACAGAAAAGGCGAGAAGCAGGAGAAGCAGAAAAGAAGCAGAAAAGCAAAAAAGCAGAAAAGCAGAGAAGCAGGAAAAGCAGGAAAAGCAGGAAAAGCAGGAAAGCAGAGAAGCAGGAAAAGCAGGAAAAGCAGAGAAGCAGGAATCCAAAAATAATTCCTAAACCTGATCAAAAAAAAAATCCTAAAATAATTAGCCCTCCTTTGTAAGGTGATACACCCAACAAAAGATGGTGGCTTGTGCGATGATGGCATAATTGTAATAAAGTAAAACCATCCCAGTTTATTTTTGCGGTATGGGATGAGTCACATTGGTTCAAAACCCATGAAGTCCCCTGTAGCTCACCTCAAAGATACCGTGCTTATGGATGTTCACCAAAAGTACTGTAGGGATCTGTAGGTGATGATGCCAACAAAATCAGAATTTCGTGGCGATAAGCAGCAAAATCAGGGGATACTAATCCTATCCCCCTGATGAAATACCTTCGGTGAGCCCCCAATGATCGTGATCCTGACCAGGATCACTGGCAATGTGTTAGGGGCCCAAGTCATATCTGGTCCGGCCGCAAGTTTCGGGTGTGGTACCCGAAGAGGTTTGTCAACAGTGGCGTAAGGAGAACTGAAATCTGGTTTCTATGATTTTCTAACCATGGTTCATGAAGCCTCGAGTCCTGAGATTGTTTGAATTCTGGCGGAATGTGGTCACCATGGCCAGAGTATAACCCACTGGGGTGCTTGCAACGTCTACCAGCTTCTTCTTCGTCTGCCGCAGGTGGAACTTAAAGGGATGAAGAACATGCGAAAGTGACAAGTTGGAATGAAATGCAAGGTCCAATTGCTGGTGGTTTCAAAGGATTTCCAGAAATACTCATAGCCTTCCCTGCAAGACATGCGCAAACTTGGTGATCCAAATCTGGTCCATGACACAATCAGGTATCTCACCCTCCAAGCCCACCGCCTCCACCTTTGGTGGTGAACTGAATCTCCGCAACTGGACGAGGCCAAGCATATTGAAAATTGATGAAACATAACTATAATACCATGGTCCAGTTTGGCAATCTCGTGTCTATCAAACCGGAAAAAAAAGAACTGACAAGAGTTTGTGGCCTATGTTCACATTTCAGTGCAGCACAGAGAGTGCCAGAAAAAAATGCCCATGTCATGAGCAAACGCAAGTTGCGCTCCCCGCATAATTGTGTGGAAACTGACTCGCCTTTTCTGCTTCTGCTTTCAGTTCAGCTGCTTTCTTGGCTGCCTCGGCATCTGCCTTCTTTTTTTCTTCTTCAGCCTTCTTCGCCTCCACTTCCGCCTTCTTTTTAGCTTCAGCATCAGCTCGGGCCTTCTCTGCGTCTGCCTTTTGCTTCGCCTCCTGTGCCTTCCTCTTGGCCTCTGCTTCAGCACGTGCCTTCTCTGCCTCTGCCTTCTTCTTGGCCTCCTCAGCCTTCTTCGCCTCCTCAGCAGCCTTCTTCTGCACCTCGGCCTCCGCTCGAGCTTTTTCAGCCTCCTCCTTCTTCTTGGCCTCTGCTACCTTTCTCTCCTCGTCTGCTACCTTCTTCTTGGCCTCGGCCTCTGCTCGTGCCTTCTCCGCCTCCTCCTTCTTCTTGGCCTCCTCAGCCTTCTTCGCCTCCTCAGCAGCCTTCTTCTGCACCGCGGCCTCCGCTCGAGCTTTTTCAGCCTCCTCCTTCTTCTTGGCCTCTGCTACCTTTCTCTCCTCGTCTGCTACCTTCTTCTTGGCCTCGGCCTCTGCTCGTGCCTTCTCCGCCTCCTCCTTCTTCTTGGCATCTGCAGCCTTTCTCTCCTCTTCGGCTGCCTTCTTCTTGGCCTCGGCCTCAGCCCGCGCCTTCTCGGCTTCCTCCTTCTTCTTGGCCTCTGCAGCCTTTCTTTCCTCCTCTGCCGCCTTTTTCTGAGCCTCCGCCTCGGCTCGTGCCTTTTCGGCTTCCTCCTTCTTCTTAGCCTCTGCAGCCTTTCTTTCCTCCTCTGCCTCCTTCTTCTTGGCTTCAGCCTCAGCTCGTGCCTTTTCGGCCTCCTCCTTTTTCTTGGCCTCTGCAGCCTTTCTTTCCTCCTCTGCCGCCTTCTTCTTGGCCTCAGCCTCAGCCCGTGCCTTCTCGGCCTCCTCCTTCTTCTTGGCTTCTGCAGCCTTTCTTTCCTCCTCTGCCTCCTTCTTCTTGGCCTCGGCCTCAGCTCGTGCCTTCTCGGCCTCCTCCTTCTTCTTGGCATCTGCAGCCTTTCTCTCCTCTTCGGCTGCTTTCTTCTTGGCCTCGGCCTCAGCCCGTGCCTTCTCGGCCTCCTCCTTCTTCTTGGCCTCTGCAGCCTTTCTTTCCTCCTCTGCCGCCTTTTTCTGAGCCTCCGCCTCAGCTCGTGTCTTTTCGGCCTCTTCCTTCTTCTTGGCTTCAGCAGCCTTTCTCTCCTCCTCAGCTGCTTTCTTCTTGGCCTCCGCCTCGGCACGTGCCTTCTCAGCCTCCTCCTTCTTCTTAGCCTCTGCAGCCTTTCTTTCCTCCTCTGCCTCCTTCTTCTTGGCCTCGGCCTCGGCTCGTGCCTTCTCGGCCTCCTCCTTCTTGGCCTCTGCAGCCTTTCTCTCCTCTTCGGCTGCTTTCTTCTTGGCCTCGGCCTCAGCCCGTGCCTTCTCGGCCTCCTCCTTCTTCTTGGCCTCTGCAGCCTTTCTTTCCTCCTCTGCCGCCTTTTTCTGAGCCTCCGCCTCGGCTCGTGCCTTTTCGGCTTCCTCCTTCTTCTTAGCTTCTGCAGCCTTTCTTTCCTCCTCTGCCGCCTTCTTCTTGGCTTCAGCCTCAGCTCGTGCCTTTTCGGCCTCCTCCTTTTTCTTGGCCTCTGCAGCCTTTCTTTCCTCCTCTGCCGCCTTCTTCTTGGCCTCAGCCTCAGCCCGTGCCTTCTCGGCCTCCTCCTTCTTCTTAGCTTCTGCAGCCTTTCTTTCCTCCTCTGCCGCCTTCTTCTTGGCTTCAGCCTCAGCTCGTGCCTTTTCGGCCTCCTCCTTTTTCTTGGCCTCTGCAGCCTTTCTCTCCTCTTCGGCCGCTTTCTTCTTGGCCTCGGCCTTGGCGCGTGCCTTGTCAGCTTCCTCCTTCTTCTTGGCCTCGGCAGCCTTTCTTTCCTCCTCAGCCGCCTTTCTCTTAGCATCAGCCTCAGCTCGTGCCTTTTCAGCTTCCTCCTTCTTCTTAGCTTCTGCAGCCTTTCTTTCCTCCTCTGCCGCCTTCTTCTTGGCCTCCGCTTCGGCACGTGCCTTTTCGGCCTCCTCCTTTTTCTTAGCCTCTGCAGCCTTCCTTTCCTCCTCTGCTACCTTCTTTTTGGCCTCCGCCTCAGCCCGTGCCTTGTCAGCTTCCTCCTTCTTCTTGGCCTCGGCAGCCTTTCTTTCCTCCTCTGCTGCCTTTCTCTTGGCTTCAGCCTCAGCTCGTGCCTTTTCGGCTTCCTCCTTCTTCTTAGCTTCTGCAGCCTTTCTTTCCTCCTCTGCCGCCTTCTTCTTGGCCTCAGCCTCGGCGCGTGCCTTTTCGGCCTCCTCCTTCTTCTTAGCCTCTGCGGCTTTTCTCTCCTCCTCGGCTGCCTTCCTCTTGGCCTCTGCATCAGCTCGTGCCTTTTCTGCCTCTTCTTTTTTCTTGGCCTCGGCAGCCTTTCTCTCCTCATCGGCTGCTTTCTTCTTGGCCTGCGCCTCCGCTCGTGTCTTTTCGGCCTCTTCCTTCTTCTTTGCCTCTGCAGCCTTTCTTTCCTCTTCGGCCGCTTTCTTCTTGGCCTCGGCCTCGGCGCGTGCCTTGTCAGCTTCCTCCTTCTTCTTGGCCTCGGCAGCCTTTCTTTCCTCCTCAGCCGCCTTTCTCTTGGCATCAGCCTCAGCTCGTGCCTTTTCGGCTTCCTCCTTCTTCTTAGCTTCTGCAGCCTTTCTTTCGTCCTCTGCCGCCTTCTTCTTGGCCTCCGCCTCCGCTCGTGCCTTTTCAGCCTCTTCCTTCTTCTTGGCCTCTGCAACCTTTCTCTCCTCGTCAGCCGCCTTTCTCTTGGCATCAGCCTCAGCTCGTGCCTTTTCGGCCTCCTCCTTCTTCTTGGCCTCTGCAGCCTTTCTCTCCTCCTCGGCAGCCTTCTTTTTGGCCTCGGCCCCGGCTCGTGCCTTTTCGGCCTCCTCCTTCTTCTTGGCCTCTGCAGCCTTTCTCTCCTCCTCCGCCGCCTTTCTCTTGGCTTCTGCCTCTTGCTTTTTAGCTTCGGCTTCAGCCTTTCGCTTCTCATCCTCGGCCCTTTTCTTTTCTTCAGCTTCCTTTCGCTTGGCGTCTGCCTCCTGCTTTTTAGCTTCGGCTTCAGCCTTTCGCTTCTCATCCTCGGCCCTTTTCTTTTCTTCAGCTTCCTTTCGCTTGGCTTCTGCCTCCTGCTTTTTGGCTTCGGCCTCGGCTTTTCGCTTTTCTTCAGCCTCCTTTCTCCTGGCCTGGCTGCAGCAATGGTCAGCACGGCGAATCAATTGTCTTTTGTATCCCTGTGTGTGTGTATTCTATGCACACAAGTGTGATTACAAATAGTTGTGTATATCCCCTGTATATCATACTCCGAAAACGCCTTTAGTTTTCGCCCAACATGGTCCCATGAATGGCACTCGAGGCAAAGCTGTGAAGTAGGGAAGGAGTAAAGTGGAAACGAAGCCTTCACTGGTGCCATTGCTAAGGACTAGTGGGCCTCCAGTGTTGGGACATTGACGTTCTTGACATGGATGGGCTACAGGTAGCATTCCCAAAGCACGAGATGGGTCGGAAGTCTGTTTGGCGCCAACCAGTCCACACGCCAACCAGTCCACAAGGACATCTAGGGTTGTGCAATCTTTAAGAGTGAGGAATGTGTCCCCAAAAATGGCCCCCCTGTCAAATCAAAGCAAATGATCTAGATATCGCAATGGATGCAATGGTGTGGTCACAATCCACCTGTGCTTTTCCACCACCTTCAACATGGACGACTAAATCTGTGCCCACCTCCGCCTCTGCTCGAACCTTCTCAGCCTCAGCTTTGCGTTTCTCAGCTTCTTCCTGTCGCTATTGTCCAAGTGCTACCCGGAAATCTCTGGGATTTCTTGGGGGTACCTATTTTGGTGGGATACCCTCTGGTAATTTAACATAGCTATTGAAAATCACCATTTTTAATGGGAAAATCCACTATTAATGGTCATTTTCAATAGTGTATAACTTCATATATATAACCAATGATATGATATGGGTGTGTCTGACAAAATGATACAAAATCTATGTATTTGTTTACCCAACATGTCATGGTTGATCATCATGTTTCAAAATAAAACTGCCATTTGCAGTATCCAACATTCTTGGACAAATCTATATGATTCTCGCTGGTGGGTATCACAAGATTTCTTTTGACCTATACCCAGATTTACCAGTCAAAATCGTCGAGTGTTGCCTCAAACCCCATCCTGCTTTGTTTTTTCTCAGCTTTCCAGGTTGAAAAAATTGGGCCACCTTTTTTTTCCCACAATTGCCCAGATTTCTAGTATCAAAACTGATCATCGAGATTTCTAGTTGTCCAAACATGCAAACAAAGCCCTCTGCCTTTCGGCGCTGATCCGCTTCTTGCCGTTTGGCAATGGCCTCCTGGCGCGCCTTCGGGCCAGGTTTGAAAACCAATCTATGGTGACGTTGCACCGGGATGGCGCAGCGATTGCAAGGGAACTCCTAGGATTTGGGGCGAAGCCATGGCCTTTTCTTGCTCCTCTCTTCTCTTTTGTGCTGCTGCCTGCAAGACAGGCAAAAACTGGGCAAGTGGACGATGTTTTCCCCACTGCTTCCGCATTTGATTTCTTCCATAGTCAAGAATCCATCCAAACAGCCAGTTACCCTCTGGTAAACTAACATAACTATGGAAAATCACCATTTTTAATAGGTAAATCAACTATAAATGGCCATTTTCAATAGCTATGTTAGTTTACCAGAGGGTAGTTTTTGTCTCTCAAGATCTCTGAGGTGTTTATTCCAAAAACTGCCTTGAAATATTCCTTAAAAACCACCTGATTTCACCATGCCGGGCCTGAACCACCTCAACCTCCTCGGCCTGGTTCGAGGATGGCTCCGCGGATCGCTGCTCAAGCTTGGTGAAAAAATCTCCCATGGAAAAGGTGCTATGGATGCTATGGATCAGAAAAATCAAGGGCAAATCTATAAATGGTCCCGTGAAATCCAATGAAATCCCATGAAATCCCATGAAATCCCAATGTTCATTGGATTCATTGAATATCCCCACTGCTGAAATATCGACTTTTTAAGAAATCAACGTTGTGCATCCCTGCCTCAACTCCAGAAGTCAATGAGTTGGCGGGTGAAATGTCTACTACATCAAGTGCGTTTGAAACCTGTTTTTTCGCAAGCCCCAAAAATTGCCGAAAAGCTGGAAACCTAGAATGGAGACATCATCGAACTACCATCATGGAAATACTTCTTGGCATCTTTTTGGGGTTACTCAGATGCATCAGCTGTAAATCCGGGGCAGCACCCAAGTACAAGCTGCATTACAATAAACCCAATACAAAGCATCACCTCTTCAGGTGACGTTAAGATTAAGTATGATTGACTCTCTGCTTTTCTGATGGGTGGTACCCCCGGTTCTAAGTTGGTTTGTAATGCCCATGAACGAGTTCGATATATATATATATATATACACACACATACATATAAATATATATATATACATATACATGTGTATATATATATATCCTCCTAAACCCAAACATGATGGGAGCCTGCGCTGGCTTCAGCGCTGGCGCAACCTGATCCAGTTTTTTGTACCAGGGAACTGGTGGTCAAATCTTCACCAGGGAGTGGTGGTTAAATCCCCATTCTGCTGGTTAAATCCCTATGTTTGCTGGAATCCCATGGTTTTTCTCGTTAAATTCATGTTCATTTCTTGCTGGCTGAATCAACTTTTGGGTGATTTTTTAAAGACATCCCTTTTCTGCTGATGAAATCCACTTTCTATTGGTGGTTGTGGTTGCAACGTAAACCAAAAAATAGGAGAAGGAATAACAATAAGAACAATCATCAGCCTTCAAAAAAATGCTAATAATAACAATAATCATAGTAACAAAAGTAACAAAAGTCATTTAAAAAATAGAAATAACAGTCTATCTAGTATAGTGGTTTCTTAAGTCAAGGCCCTCTGAGCATCCCACAGGACTCAGCAGGGCCACCAGCACAAAGGCTGCACCACCAAACACCTGCGGGGGTTCAATGGGGGTACCCCCGCTGGATGGTGATTTATGCTATAAATAACCAATAAATATTGGATGGTTTCCATTAAATGGTGATTATATTAACTATAATAACCAATATTGTGACATTTATTTTCTGGAAAATCCCTATAAATAGCTGGATGATGACTTGGAGGTACTCCCCCCCATTTTAGGAAACCAGCATCTGTGTTAAAAAAAAACAAGAAACTGGAGAAGTTTTTTGTCGGCAATGTTTGGAATGATCCGGCCAACATTGTCAGGATTTAACAAACAACTTGTGTGATATCAGCAAAATGGGGATGTAAGTTAAGCAAGAAAGAAAAGGATGCAACTTGGATGTATTGTAAGGTAAGGTAAGGCAATGTTAAGTAGTGTAATGTAATGTAGTGCAATGCAATGCAATACAATGCAATGCAACGTAATGTAATGTATGTATTGTATGAAATGTATGCAATGTAGAAATTGTATGAAATGTATTGAAATGTTGAAATGTATGTATTTAATGTGTGTAAGTTTGTATATACCTGTATATACGTATAGATACGTGTATATACGTGTATACTGGTATATACGTATATACCTGTGTATATACGTATATACCTGTATACTGTACCTGTATATACCTGTATATTATATGCGTGTATATACGTGTATGTATATGTATATATATATGTAACATATATATATATATATGTAACATATATATATATATGTAACATATATATATATGTATGTATATATATATGTAACATATATATATATATGTATAAGAACCTGCAAAAGACCGAGAAATCATCAAAAACACTACAGTTCGCCTCTAAGTTTCAGGCCTCCAACAAAGAGAGCGAAATTTCAAAAAAAAAACATCTTCCATTGCCACTATATTTGGGTTCCGTGTCAGGCTTTTGTTAGTGACCCCCAGATTGGTGGAAGTCCATCTTTTTGGGGGTTGTTAGCTCGACAATCAGCCAATTGGATGGGCAACTAACTACATGGGATTTGCATACATAGTACGATAAATGTATATATATATATATCATATAATATCTTTATATATAATAAGAACAAAAATTAGCACATCAATACACATAAGTCCATATATATATATATATATGTATAGAGTATGTGTATGTATATATATATATGTATAGTTGTATATATATATATATGTATAGTTATATATAGTGTGTATATATATGTATATATATATAGTTATACAAATATAGTTATGTAAATATATAGTTATGTATATATATAGTTGTATATATAGTTATATATATATAGTTGTATATATATAGTTATGTATATATATATAGTTATAGATATAGTTATATATATAGCTATTATATATATAGTTATTTTTATACACAAACATCGATGGACCCTAAGCTCCAAGAGGGTCAATCATTTTCGCATCTTCCAGCTCCGCTTGGTGTTGACAGCGCCGGCAGCCAGGATCATCCAGGTGACCCTTGCAGCAGGCGTAGCGCTTCACCAAGGTCCTGACGTCGGGCTCCACCGGGTGCCCAAAACAGCTGTTTGGTCGGATAAATAGAGACAGATAGATATATATATATACTGTATATACATAAATATATATGTATAAATATATGTATGGGGTGTATATAAATATATAGAGAGAGATCCAGTGATATCCACTTGCTTCATGACTTTGGGATATGTTTTGTTTCTGCAAATATATATAAAGCAAACAGCACTGGATTGATTTACCTCAACCAGCACTGGAGATTTGACCGACCCTGGCCATAGACAGACTGGTCATTAGGATCTTTTTTCGCGATCCACTGCCAAGTGCATCACCACAGCCATGGAATCGCCAAACACAGTGGAAAATAGCAGCCTCTAGCAACGTCATCTGGCAGTCATAACTATCAAGACCAAAAACCAGTCATAAAAATGGAGAGTTCCAGTCCCATGTTGCCACACGGCCATAACCAATAAATCGTTACCTTGCAATTCGGTTCAGCCGTATAAGACACCTTAGTGAACCTCCCAAACCAATAAATCGGCACCTGAACACTTGTCGGCCACATGTCCTTGGCTATCTCGCCGCTGTCATGGCTTTTCACCATGTATCAACACTGAATTGGTCTTTTTGTTTCGGTGATATCTTGAAAGCGGTCACGGGCTGATCTTTCACACCTGACTTCTTCCTATTGACCCGAAATTATGATTCAGCACACCTTCTTTGGAGGAGCGCCGTGGTGTCAAATTCCCACCATGGATAGTGTGTTGTTTAGAAAGACAAACTTGACAAAAAGTGGGGATATAATGATATATGACATACATATTATATAATATATATATAATCACCCCCATGTGGATCTAATTATATATTTCACAAAGTTGAAGTGGTCTACTCTACTCCGACACACCCGACCATGATGGCTTGAGTGAAAAATATCACGAGAATCCTCCCACAAGTTTTTCCCACTACAGTGTGTTTCAGGCAGCATCCTTCAAAAAAAAAAATATCTGCGTTCCATCGGTTTTAGCATCGAAAAATCCAGCTTTTTCGCCAGAAAAAAATGCTGCGGTCTCACCAGCTCTCTCCGAGACACTCGGCGCCGCAATGTTTGCAGGGCCCTTTCTCCGAGCGTTCCGGCCAGGCGCAGCAGAGTTTCTCCTCTCTGGAGACTTCCAAGTCCTCGTCCAAACACTGGGGACTTGTTGAGTAAACCAATGACCATCCTTTAGCAGTGTGAAAAATGAAGAGAAATGGACGTCGATTGGGTGCCATCCAATCCCATGGAAAGAAACTGTGGAGCGGCTAGCACCACTGCTCCTCAAACAGTGAACCCATCTTCTTCTTATATTTTTCTTTTTGGAGTAACACAACTTGACCAATGGAAGTTTCAACATTGGCCACAAATCCACCAGTTTCTCCTCCATCCATGGGAAGCGATGGTGGCGGCATGCAGTCTCACTGTTGCCTGTGGTCGACATGGGCAAACCCTGAGCGGGTCCCCCTAGTGGAATAGATCATGAAATGCTACGAATCGCTGTGATTTCCAGAGTTTTGGGAAACATGGACTAGTGACTACTTGTTTATGAGTTTATGTTTGTTGCTGATCTCCCCCGATATACCTTTTGTCATCTCCTGGAAATCCAGACCACGGCTTAAGGCTTTCCATGGCTTTCCCAAAGAGACCCCAAACATTGGCATTTGGAAAACAGGGAGATGGAAACCGATGCTTTGAATCCACGAAATCTGGGCAAAACTCAGTTGTTTTTTGTGATAAGCCCAATCATAAACACGGATAAACCCAAAACCATCCAAAACCCAGATTCCATGGCAACTTCTGCAAAAATGATGAAACACCAACAGAGAGTTTACGCCATGGTGTTTTTGGGGTCCCCGATTTCTGCCGCGTCACGAGCTTTGTCAAAGTGCACCTTGCAGCGTCCACAGGCTTCAGGCCAGTCTAGGAGGAGGTAGTCAAATTCAGCCTCGCAGGCCGCATGACATGAGGATTGCATGGGGATTCACGATGATTTACAGTAAGTCAAATACGATATAATACGATGGTATAAGCCACAAGTGGGGGTTTGCAAAACATGGGGGTACCCCCAAATCATCCATGTTAATAGAATCATCCATGAAACCCCGCAATCATGCTTGATGGTGATTGAATGTAATTGAAAGATATTACAGTAAAAGAAGAAAGAAACATATGGATGTTGTGAGTTATGAGGATTTTTCATGAGATCATGGGCAGATATTGGGGATATAACATGATATAACCAGATACAGGGATGCACAAAAACCAATGGTTCAATGGATTGATTGCAATGGTTGGTCCGGGAACTGTTCAAAAAGACCACCCTGCGTTTAAAGAAAAATACAGGCTGTAGATTGTCAGCATAATGTCAGAATGATCCTTTTTGGATCTAAAATGATCTAAATTCCAGAGCTATTTTCGTTTCGTTTCACAAAAATGACAAAAATCCCTGGAATTTTGGTGCCAGTCACTTGAAGAGCACCTGGGAAGTCTTTGCCGATCTCGCCTGGGTTCTCTTTCGGGGCACTTTTCGAGAGCGATTCATCGATGGAAAGGACGGTTGGGACGGTTGGGAATGCTATTCTCATCTACCTATCTATGGTTGGTTAAAAAATTCAATGGTTGGTTTTCATGGGAAGCCTCTATCAGACTCTATCAATCCACCAACCCTCTACTGTAATCCACATATAATCCACCAAGCCTCTATGAATCCGCCAATGGAAATTTGGGACATCTATGAATGACGCATCGTTGAAATTTGTGGGGGGAAGCCTCCACGAATCATTTTGGACATCTGGAGTTCACTTCGGTCGTCAGGACATTCGACATGTGGCCGGTGCGTGCAAAGCGTAAAACCCACTCGAACAAGTCGGGGTCGCGGTCAAAGAACAGTCGTCCTTCCTAGTCGAGGAGGGCTGGATTGACTGGATGCAGGGACTGGCAACAAAAATGGGAATGGAACCACGGATCACAGCGCTTTTGACCAACAAAGCTGCAGCTTTCGCCAAAACGAGGAGATTTGTTGCAAACAAAATACCAATTTCGAACAAACTTGGTCAATTGATCGAAAGTGAATCACCACGACGAAGCACCTCGTCTCTGTCCACTGGAATGGAACCATCCAGCCTTGGTCCACCAACTGCAATATGTTCAGCAAGAAAACTGCGGATGTTCACCTGCAAAGTTGAGGATTTAACCAGTATCAGTATCTTAGCACAAAGCATGGCGTTTACCCTCCAAACTTGGGTTCCTGCAAACATTCACTCAAACCAATTCGGGGACAGACGGGAAATCTGTGGTTGACATTGACCAATACCCAATATTGATTGCCTTCATGGAAATCAGCCACGCATCCATGTGACCGCTGGATGTGAGGTATGCCTCGCCCCTTCCAATTCGGCCCAGTTGACCCAGTGTTTAGGGCCTTTTAGGAGCTCTGACGGAGCAAAGCATCAGATCAACTCACCAGTTTAGCGTTGTTGGTGAATATATGATATATGATATATATTGATATATGGCTATATGCCTTATGAGTCAAAATTAGGTACTGCACCAGTATCCCTAAAATTGGATGGTGACACAAAAAAAAACTGCGGTGATTACTTGCCAAAGTACGCCCGCAGCACAAATTGGCCGCAGCGCCGCAGTGAGTCTTCCGAGGCCTGAAAAATGCGGCCTCCCACGTTCACGGAAAGCGGCATGGCATGGCATGGCATGGCCGCATGGTGTCCACTGGTGAAACCGGAAGCGAAATCTGAAAATTTGGAACCCGATTTTCCATCGGGTTACCACGGTGACGAAAATCCATGTCCCTATCAGAGTGGCTCCCAAAAATGATGGCTGACAAAGGTGCCAGGCAACCGAGCCAATTATCCCCAGCAACTTGGTCTGTATGTTCTGGAAGCCAGCATGGCTACGGGTTCTTTTGGCTGACTTCCAATCCTAAGGGCAAGCATTACATTAGAATACAGCACATATCCAGCCAGAAAGTCAATTTTCAGCTGGGAAGACCACATCCTCCTTTTGAACCACCCAGCCTTCCGAGTCTACAGAATCTTGTAAGATTCCCACCGCCAATCCATCCGGCCCCAACTGTGGAAAATGTCACCTGGCGGTGATCCCCAGTTTTGGTTTCCCCAAAAATGCTGGGATTTCCACTACCAATTGATGAAGGTTTGGAGTGGCGGATCTTCTATTGCCAGTTTGGAGTACTGCAGCCGCTGCAGCCTGCACTTCTTTTGACCATCTTCTCTGGACTTTCCAGACTGGACTAGCGTTGCAGCACTTTGTCAGCATTGCCTAACTATCAAAAGTCATCGAACTCTGTATCCGTATCAAAAGTCCTCCAAATTGCTCCAGGCTTTTGTCAGCCTGTGTTCTTAGGGGAAAACAGACACAGATCACCTTCCACGCGCCCATTCTTCGAAGCCTCCTGAGCAGTGAGTTTGATCTACCGAGTTTTATTATATAGCTATTAAAGACGCCCATTTCATATACATATAGCAAAAACCCATGGATAGCTTAGACATGTTGATACGCCAGACCCAACTTGCTGACCAAATTGTCTTTGTCAACTCATCGATTTTATGAAGTTCCATTTTTTCTGTGCATCCAAGCACGCAGTTCAATATAGTATTCCCCAAGTGTTGGGCACCCTTCCACCTTTTTGCATCCCAGAATTGGTGGGAAAACCGTATGTGGTTAGAAGATCTTGAAAATAAGGGATTCCTTTGTAAACTTTCCACACACCAAGTTAATGCAATTGTCATGCCTTTTCTATTCTTTTGGGATGTGCACCCATTGTGATTGCTTCCAAACCGTGGTTCATGTCATCCCCGTTGAATGTTAGCTGCATAAGATCTTTCGTCAGTTGTTGAGTATATGGTTTCTGTGTTTCCATGCTTGGCCAATTAAGACTAACGTCGAGACTGCGGGCACCCAATGACTTGTACAACCACAAGGCCACAAGACAAAGGACCACGATTTGCGGGGGCCATGGAGTCTACATGTTCATAGCCAGCTTAACATCCGAACTGCTTCAACACCCATTTTCGTTGGCCAAAGTCAAGTTTTATGTTCTTTGGTTCAAGTCGCAGTTTTTGGTTGAAGTCCCTGTCTTGCTAGCTTCATCCCTATTTTTCTTGGCCTTCTTAATCACATATTTTGGTAGGTTTGACTCGGTTTAACATGGTGTAACGGTTTAGCCCCCTATCTTCGTATTGATGTTTCGTTGATCCCGTGCCAAAAGTTCTGCAGCGTCCCACCTTCAAGGCTTTGGCACTTTCGCCTCCGCCATCTGAGTGGTTTCGGCCACAGCCTTGCCATGATTTCTTCGAAAAAAAACTGAAGTGGAAAATCATATATGAATTTTATGAAAATTTGAATCGAAGATAATAAGAATCAAATGGATATTCGGGAGCTACAAAAAACAGGAAAGTCTGGTATTCGAACATAGCTATGAAAAAAAACACCATAAACGTAGATCATTTCCGAACAGGAAACCCATGAAGTTCCATAGCTATGTCTACCAGAGGGTATCGCTTTTCGACCAACCAAAGCATGATGGCCACTATTGACCACTCGATATGTTTGAAGATATTTACGTTTTACTTTGGCATAATATTTTGGTCTTGTGCAAAAATGCGAATGAAATATGTGTTCCATCGCAATTCTCAACCATCATTAGACACGCAACAAACATGCAACAAACCTGCCAGAGGATTGCCCCCAATGAAGGCCTTCAGCAGCCAGTCCGGAGACTCCTGGACAAAGTTTGCGTCCCTTCCCGGTGATTCACCGCCCATCCTTCATGGATTGCTGCGATTGCTACGGCGCGTGTTTTCACGTTTTCAAGATGTATCTTCAGGTTGATCTTTTCAAATAGATGTTCCGGATTTTTTCATGGACAATGAAGAAATTCCATTCAAAATGTGTATTTTCCAATTGGGATTTCCGCATTACAAAACGGAACTGTCCCATGAAACATTCGCTTTTAGCCCATAAAATATCCAAATGTTCCACGAAAAAAAAGGCGAAAAATCGCACCCTGACCTTCACCAAAGCTGCCAGCACTACAGCACCGGCCACCTGGAGATACCCCAGGAGTTCCATGGAGCATCGAATGTTCAAAAAAGGGGCCATGGTTCAAGATTCATACACCTGCAGGAATACGATGGACGGAATCAAGTACGTCCATCTAACCTAGCGTATGCACTGCCTGTATTATATAGATAATATTATATATATATATAGATTTTCTTGCAGATACCCCATTTCTCACCCTCAGCGTAACTGGGCAAAAATATCCCACAACTGCGGTTTCACATGGCTGGAAATCCACCAAGGTTCCATGGGTTTTTTCCAATTCATAGATCCCCAGTGAATTTTCGGCGCTTCTCATTGCCATATTTCATGAAACCGGAAACCACAGAAATCATTTCATGCCCACCAAATCTCCTGGAAATCCCGAGGAAAATCGCTGAAACCGCAGTTTTTCACGATGAAAATCCACCATTCTTCAACCAAGGCGCACACGCTCCCACCCCCAGGGCAGGACCGTTCGGACCGTTCTCGGGTGGTGCCATTGCTGGGCCCAGCTTCGCCAGCATCAAATCTGCCTCGGGGATGAGATGATGCCCAAGGTTGATGAAAACAACTGGGGATTTCCAGGATTATATTTATATATCCTTCATATATATATATATATATTTATATCTATCTAATCTAATCTAATCTAATCCAATCTAATCTTATCTTATCCAACCTAATCTAATTTAATCTTATCCAATCTAATCTAATCAAATCCAATCTAATCCAGTCTAATCTAATCTATATAATCCAAATTTAGTCTAATCCAATAAATTCAATTCTATATAATCTAATCTATATAATCTAATCTAATCTAATCCAATCTAATCTAATCTATATAATCTAATCTAACCTAATCTTTATAATCTAATCTGATCTGATCTAATCTAATCTAATCTATATAATCTAAGCTAATCTAATCTAATCTAATCTAATCTATCTACCTACCTACCTATCTACCTACCTACCCACCTATCTATCTACGTATCTACCTATCTACCTATCTACCTACCTACCTATCTATCTACCTACCTACCTATCTATCTATCTACCTCTATCTATCTACCTACGTATCTATCTATCTACCTACCTACCTATCTACCTACCTACCCACCTATCTATCTACTTACCTACCTATCTATCTATCTATCTAGCCATCTATCTATCAATCTATCTATCTACCTACCTATGTATCTACCTATCTATCTATCTATCTACCTATCTATCTATCTACCTACCTATCTATCTATCTATCTGTTTATCTATCTATCTACCTATCTATCTATCTATCTACCTATCTATCTATCTATCTACCTACCTACCTATCTATCTATCTATATCTATCTATCTACCTACCGATCTATCTGTGTATATAAATATATCATTTTATTTATTTATCTATTTATTTATCCATACATCTATAGTTGTGTCTGAAAATGTAGGGTGATTAATTCAATGTTCAAATGGGCGATCTTCATTTCCCCTTCCACAAAACAGCTATTTATGGGGATATTCCATGTTCAAACAGCCCCATTCGGAAATTTGTTATCACCAACCAAAATAACTGATTGGTGGCTGAGCTACCCATCTGAAAATTCTGGAAATTAGTTGAATCTACAAGATAGAAATGGTTTGGGCCTTTTGGATAACCATTGAATAACTGATTGGTGGTTTCAACTCATCTATATAAAATTATATATATATATATCCTCGTCATTAAGGATCATCATTCCAAATATGGTTGAAAAGAAAGTAGAATTCAGCCCATCAAGAAGCAAACATGAATTCTAAGCCTAGCAACAATGTTAAAGAATCATAAAAAATGCGGACTTAAGCAACAATCAACCAAGAACTGCAAGTGAACCAATCCCAAAAACAGCCGAGCCAGAGCTTGGACATGTCATCCCAGGCCCTCAGTCCTGCGCGCCTGCGCGCGCATGACCTGCGAAATCCAGGCTGCCCGTTGAGTGAATTGAGGCTCAGTCAACAGCCTGGACGGACCGCGTTTAAAGCAACACAACGCACAACAATCCACAACTACAACAACAATGGTCACAATATTTGAATATCATAAGAATTTAAGAATTATGATAGCAATAGTGAGAATTGCCATAGTACATCATACTTCAAGAATGCTTGTAGTCTGCATGCAAATCATCAGAAACCTGAAAATGTATCACAATCACTCCATAGTCTCTAATTATCAAAAAATGAAACACAGCCATCAAATCATGATAATAATTACATAAGAATATCGCCAAAAATTATCCAATCATCAGCGGCTACCAACCCCATCCTCTTATCATCGTCCCCGTTTTTCTTACGCCGCTTCCGCATCGTCAGCAGCATCGCCGCCGTCGTCATCGCCCAGGATCTGCTGAAGAAGATGCGCGCGATGCGTAGAGGAAGCCTCCTGGGCGACGGAAAAAAAAGAAGTGGCAAAGGAAAAGGATTTTCAAAAAAATGATATTCAAATCATAGTCAAAAATTCAAAACTATGAGATTCCCTAATTGTTCGAAACTTCAAGTTTGCCAAATTGTTTCAAGAAATGATGCAGTATTCAAAATAGAAGTATAGTGGAGATGGAAACTGAGAAATATGTGAAAGTCCCGTGACATGGGATGAAACGACCCAGAATGCTCCAGCCTAAGCGTGATACTTTTGTACCAGTTCGACAAGATTCCCAACATAGATTTCCTCGTTGAAAATCGAGGATGTAAAAAGATACCATTTAATTTAACTAAGTCAATGTAACTTTTACTGAGAATATGCAACTATACAACCATAGCTGCTGCCGCTGAGGGCCCAGCTTTGTCCCAGTCGGCCAGACTGATCTCCTTCACCTCAGCTGAGGAATCGCCAGTATATCAGTCACTCTTGATGTCCTTTTGCCATTGTTTTTGGAGTATGGAATATTTATGTATACTGTCCGTATACTGCAATTTCAATCAATTTCATCCGGGGGCAAGTGCGGATTGGAAGGTCGCGCACCATGTTCGCTTCCATTAGCTTGGATCATCAGACATGAGCAATGCGAGGGTCTCCACGTTGGCAAGCTTGAAACATATAAAAATCAGGATTCCGATGATTTTGAGAACATACTCTTCCTTCCCAATGAGTGCCATTGGTTGGGAGGAATACCCGGTAATTTAACATAGCTATGGAAAATCACCATTTTTTTCATGGGAAAATCCACTATTTCGACTGGGTCATTTTCAATAGCTATTTTGACATAACCAGAGGGTACCTTGTTTTCGGCAGGTATCAAGGTATCAAGAACTCGGACCAAGCAGAGTCTGATTTAGCTCAGGATCGAGGGATCAAAATAGCTGGGATTTATGGATGTGAATAACCCCCTAAAAATGCTATGTATAGGTATTGATCCATAGCCATATTCAACTCCAAAGAATCAATCAACAACCATGGTGATTGCCCTCTGACTTCCCGTTTTTGGATGAATTTCCCAGCGAAAAAACCTCCAGATTTTTTGGATTTCCCAGCTAGCCACGTTTCATTGCCGTATGACTGTGTCTGAAAATGGGATGTATATCCTCAAATAGCTATTTTGATAGGGAAAATTGTGGTCATCCAATGGATTTAGGGGTACACGATTTTCAGACAAACCCATATGGCTGTGGAGGTGTCCTAAAATAGGGGGGTACCCCCAAATCATCCATTTTAATAGGATTTTCTCTTGTAAATCATCCATTTTGGGGTATCCCCCATTGTAGGAAACCTCCATATGATCTTCTTCAAACCATCCACTTTCCCCACAGTGACCACCTCTCGCCTCAAGCTCGGGGGCCACTTTGGCCCACTGCTGACGACGCAGCACGCGGCTCACAAGGCAGTGATGAAAATCCTCAGGTCTTCGAGAAGCAAACGCTCCGCTCAACTTACCGAAGGTACCAAAATGTCCAACTTTGAAACCCGCAAAACATAGATTTACCAAAATTCTCAAAGACATGGAATTCACCTATCAAAAATTAGAGACAGTTGATGATACTTGTCTATGCCAAGTGCTCCATTATGGCTAGAAATCTTTAAGTACCACAGAGCACTCAGGAAACCTGGACCATGGCTTGCAACACGGAACCTCTACGCGGAACCTCGTAAGGTACTGCTGTGCATCATCAAGTCTCTGCCGATGTTCAGACAACAGCAAGCTTGTCAACTTGACAACTGGAGATCATAGAAACAAGATGAAACAAGTACCTCCAAGAGTACCACAAAATGCAGCTGTCTCCCACCAAGGATCGATGTCAACAGCGATGTTTCTACCTCTCCAAATGGCGGGCAAACCTCAGTGAAATAGGGGCCATCTGTATGACCATCTTTTCGGGTATCTCCTGTTCTTGGGCAAACCCATAGGGTGCCATGTGAAATTGACATGGAACCGACAAAGATTGGAGAAGTCCTTTTTTGGGGTGCAATGTGGTTTTCAAGGGTGGGCCGCTTCGCGATATTGTTGGGGATGGTCAGCCAACCTGTGTTTGAGGCTTAGCAGACTGGGTATGCAGAACCTCTGATGGGGCTACGATGATCCTCTCAAAACGAGTAGTCAACTCCAATCTTGACCGTTAACTTCTACAGTATATAAATCCTAATAAGTAGATTATAGTTACAAGTCTATGACATATGAATCATATGAAGTACAAATAGAAGTCTACTGCAGTAGATTAAAGCCTATTTAATGCTTGAAATTGGCCCCTCTAGAATGACAGAGCCATCACCAAATCGAGGCGCAAAAGGGCCCGACAATGGAGCCCAGCCTTGGTGCTTCACACCAATTCATAGCTGGAATAAATCCATGGAAGATCGATCGGATCAACTTCCCCCAAAATATGGCTGTCCAATGATGTGCATCCCCAAAAATGCTGGGCAAAGTGCCCAGCAATGTGTCCATGCTTCACCGAAACAGCCGAGGTGCTCAGGATCTTCTGACTTCGGGAGCTCCTACCAGGGACTTCCATAGGGGGATGGGTCAAAACTCATCTCATCTGCCTATTTATATAGCTAATCTAATCATCTAGTCTAATCTCAGCAAATCTAATCTTAATCTAATCCAATTTATGGGCTTTGGGAGTTCATCAACAATTGCAAGATTCTCTAACGGTAAGCATCAAGGCTTGTGGAGAATTCCCCATGAACTTCTCCGGATGTGCATCCCCAACCAAAGCCAACACAGCCTTCAAAGCTGTCAGCAGCTCATCTTTCCGCGGGGACATCAGGAAGGCATCGCTTTCCGCCTCAGGGGCTATCGGATCATGCTGCAGGTCATGGCGTCCAGCCCACCTTTGCAGAGGCTGCCAAGTCGTCTTTCCATTTCGTCGAGAACGGACAGTCCTGCTGGTCTCTGCGCTGGCGAAACATGGAAAGGAGTTTGGCCAAAGAAAAAGGCGACGTATATCTAGACACATACCAAACCGCGCCTTGGAATGCAAGACTGTTTTACCGAATGGTACTCAACGACCCTATGTTGTCAGTGTCAATTCACTTGAAGCCAGCGAATCGGCCTGAAAAAAACAAGTGGCGTTCCATCTCTGGGCCAATCTTGGTTATTTCCATCTCCAAACGTGGGAACACCTCAACTTGGGAGATTCCACTGAAAGATGGCCACCAAAATCGATCAAAATCTGTGGTTCTGGTGGCTGCGTCCTCCTTCTCCTCCGCAAGTGGCTGGAGCTCCCTCAGAAGCTGCCAAGTGTCCCAGGTAAAGCCTGGAGCAGAAGTTTGGGAAAGAGGCCATGCCAAGTCTTTCCAGAGCGTGTTCAATCAGTTGCCCAGATTTGGTGATCAAAAACAGAAACTCTCTCACTACCCACTACCCTCTGGTAATTCAACATAGCAGTGGACAAATCCCGACCTTTAAATACCTTAAATAGGAAAAACATGGGAGAATCATCATAGAAATGCTTCATTTTGCAATTTTCCATTGCCTGAAAAAAAAAGAAGAAACGGAGAGATTTTCGGGAACTTGCAGAAGTTGCAGGCCCAAGTAGCTTGAGACCTCCATGCTCTCCAGATCCTGGAGGAATTGCTTTGCAAGTTCCTGGCGTGCTCGTTCGTTCGGCGATAGTCAGTGATTTATGTCTCCTTATGTCTCCTTTTTGAAACCCGCGAGGATGTTTTCTTGTCGAAAGGGCGACGGATCTGCAACCTTTGAGCTTTGGACGTTTGGAAATGTTATGAAGGTGACAAAGTGATGCCGCATTTGCAGTATGTGCAACTTCAGACCGTTGTTCGAGACCGTGTGTTTTTAACACCCAACAAGCATCAGTTGACAATGCCATGATTCTTGCCACAATAACATGATTTGAAATTTGAAATGACCATCCCACTGGAGATTTTGTTGCATACTCTCTTTACAACCCTAACCATAGTTGCTCCCCACTTTCCTAGCTGGATCATCCAGGTTAAACCATGTGGCAACGGATCAAAATTATGAACCCAAACAATGCGGCATGATTCAATACTAAACTTGCCAATCTTGTTGGTCCCCTACAAGCTTGAACCATACCCAATTTGAACCATTGTTTGGTATTAACATGTATTAACCACACTTTTTCAAAGGCGCCTTTGTTTCAGAGCCGGCCTCCTTTTCCGATGCCTTGCCCAGCGCATGCAGTGCCCAAAGGGATCGAGCCCTTGGCGCTGCACCTCCCAGCTGAAATCGCAGAGAAAAAAAAAGGTCGATAGTCGCATATCATATCTTTTACATGTATATATATATATAGAGAAATAGATACATGCATACATACATGCATACATGCATGTATGCATACGTACTGTACGTACGTACATACTTACATACCTACATACCTACATACCTACATACCTACATACCTACATACCTACATACCTACTTACCTACATACCTGCATACCTACCTACATACCTACATACCTACATACCTACATACCTACATACCTACATACCTACATACCTACATAACATAACTTTAACATTACATTATATACAGTACATTAC